AACTTTCTTTAACCTGTGTTTTGTCGTCTTCACTGTTCATTGACTGAGCAGAGACATGAAGGAGGAAGCTCACGGCGGACCAAACTGACTGATCACACTTGTTATTGGCTCTGTGTCGTTACATTTGGCTCTGAAACAAGTTAATTAATCCATTAACCTGCTCCTGTTTTATAATGCAGGACGAACACAGCAGGAGTGTGCAGGAGCTGCTGATGAGCACCAAGTATTTATACAAGGTAATGGTGCTAATGCTAATGCTAAATGGACCTGCATTTGTGTAGCGCCTTTTATACTCTTCCGTCCACTCAAAGCACTGTGCACTACATGTCAACATTCACCCACTCATGTTAGAAAGCTAAGCTAACTAGCATCCACTTTCTCCCCAATGATGAGTATTGTAAATGAAACCCAACGGAGATTTGATCCGGGGCCAGTAGAGGGGCAGTGTGAACTGTAGAGCACTGTTTAGGTTGATAATGTGTGTTTAAAAAGGGTCTAAAGAAAAATTCCTGGGCTGAGATTATGGAGAGGTATAAGCTGATATGTGGGGACAATAGAGGGGAGAAATTCTTGTTTCAATGCTCTGAGGATAAACAGTAGGATGTTCTCCTGTCTGCATTACAGGTCAAAGACCTATATCTGTTTTTCTCTCAAAACTGCACCGTAAACGAGCCAAATAATATTGACTTCAGCTGTTTAAGCTTCGTGTTTCTATAGAATACCATGAAAAATGCTTTTCATGGTTGTAGACAGACAGACAGAGCTGTAAGCCACAAACTGCTGTTTCTACACCTCAGTCTGCTGATTCTGACAGGAAATCATTCATAAGTTCAAAATATATCTGGCGCTCTGATTGTGCTACGTTCTTACGCGAGTGATCCGATTAATAAATGCATTTTTATCAATTTTGAAACCGTAGCATTATGTTGTTATTTAGCCTTTCTGAGGCTGTTGAAAGGTTAAATCAATTCATTTTATTTGATGTTAAAAATTGCCCTCACAATTCCATCCTGGTTGTTGCACTAAAAGAGTTACTCAATACTCATACATCAGTATTATATGCATACGTCTGTTTCCATACATCTGCCCCCCCCCCAAAAAAAAATATCTGTACACGAGAGAAAGGTCACAAAACGTCCACACTGAGCTTAAAATCTGCATAAAAGTGAACATCTGATGATCAGCTGATGACAGTTTGGATCCATTTTTAGCTCTCAGTCCCAGATGTTTGTCTGAGGATACAAACACCTTCACATGAGGGAATAAAAGTGACATTACAGAGACAAAAAGAAACCGTCTCATGTCTTCTTCTCACCTGAGCAGTGACAGAACACGCTGCTGATCGTTAAGCTATTATTCCTAAAATAGTCGTTTTATTTTTAGGTCCGTATGTGTCTCTTTGTGAAGCTCTTTGTCACCCAGGTCTTGTTTTAAATAAAGTTTACATCTGGCTGTGTGTGGCTCCCGTGTGTCCTATCAACATGAAATACACAGATTTTATGAAATGATGAGGGCGATCAATGACCTCCAAAGAGGCAGCAGAATGATTCATCAATACACATTAACCAGGGGGGGGGGGACGGCTGAAGCTGAGCCCTGTGTGTGTGTGTGTGTGTGTGTGTGTGTCAGCTTGGCGTCCAATCAGCGGCTGATTTTACAGGCCGAGCGTAAAAGCAGCTGAAGAAGAGACGACTCATCATCACAGCCAGAACAGAGAGCTGATACAGAAACACGGCTAACCGCTACCATAACGCTTCTGTTGCGGAGCTAATCGGGTTTGGCTAACAGTCGACCGGCTATCAGACAGAAGAGCAAACTGTGTGAACGACTGTTGTGTTTGAGGAACGTGGGAAACACGAATCATCGCACCAGCTTCAGTTGTGGACGGACACCGACTGTGTTTACACGACCACAAGAAAGCCGATCAATGTGATGAACCAGGTAAAGGTGAGGATCAGATAACCGCCGTGGGAAACCCGGGCTTCATGCAGGTTTCACTTCATCCCCAGAGACTCAGTGCTGACTAGACACTGGCTCTCCACAACGTAAACAACAACACTGATAATCAAGTTATATTCCTGAGGAGATCATTTCAGTCCCATATTTTTCATACTTAATACTTCTGTAATTACCTCCATGTACTGTTGTTTGTTTGTTTAAATCTTTGCACTATTGTTTAGTTAGTAGTAGATGAATAAAGTAAGTAACTATCCATCTATCTATCTTTTGTTGTCCACCTCTTCTACAGACTCAAATGATCTTTATCGCACTAGAGATTCACAGGAAACTTACTGCTAAAGCAGAGCCACCATTTCATGCTGCTGCTTCACACTGAAAGTGTTGAACTGGTTAACTATCGGGGGGGGGGGCAAGGTCATAGCTGACTTCCACTGAAGTTGACGTCAGAGGATCATCTTTAATGACCTGCTGAGAGCGAGCTGTGTGATGAAGAGCTGCAGATGACAGACTTTTTGAGAACACCTCAACACATCAGCGGGGTAAACAAGTCCTTTCTACTGTGCTGTGCACAGCATGAAATCAGGCCAATTAAAAAGGCCAAAGGCCAATTATTGACTTCCTCTTATTTCATTAAAACAACATGAGGTGATGAATCCTCTCAGCCCCCATTTTGTTTGGCTGCACTGTAAACAGATGAACCGGGTCTTCTTCGTCTGTTGCATATTCTGACAGCGTAGCAGCTCAAAGTGTGTTTGGGGCCGTAGTACTAAAACAAACCTTTTTTCCAGAGCTTTCAACCGTATCATACAGTCTTCAACAGTTGTCAAACTTAATTCACTGATTAAAGGCCGTATAATATGGTTAAAAGCTCTAAAAAGCTAAACCCAAAGTCATAATATCGGCCTCCTGATGCATCAATCCGCCTGTATATCCATAGTGTGATTATCTAGAACCCATTCAGCCAGTGTAACTTACATGAATCCAACACTGAACTATAAATCAGTTACAGTTCAGCGTTGAGAATCATGAATACTAATTTAAAGGGCCACTCCACAGATTTCACATGTCAAAGTCAGTTTACAAGTCGTGGTTTGTTCAGCTGTACGATGTCTTCTGTGGCTCTGGAGTAAAAAAGAAAAACAAACAACCCTGATGATGTCATAGTGATGTCATCAGGGTCCTCTGCGCTTGAGCTTTGAGACTACGAGTTGTAAAGCGAAAGCCGGCATCTCAAACTGGAGGTGTGGAGTTTGAGCGGTTGTATGTAAAGGGCAGTATTCCAGCTGCATTGTGGGAAACGTAGGATCCAGTGGTTTTTGGGGCTTTTATCTGTACCTCACGAGTCAGATAATTTCATGGAAGTGAAATACTGAATCACTGAAGTACTATAAAATAAAAGTAAACTCAATGAATGCTGATGAAGGACGGATGAGAAAAGGCAGCAACTGGATTGAAAGACTTGTCCACGATCACTACAGTTACCTGAAAGTCAATTACGAAGTGTGTGTGTTGGCCTTTAACCTTACATTGAG